CGAATGCGACTTACAGGCAGGGCACCTCTATCCAGTTTTTGCACAACGAATGCGACTTACAGGCAGGGCACCTCTATCCAGTTTTTGCACAACGAATGCGACTTACAGGCAGGGCACCTCTATTTTTTCTTTAAATGTACACTATCAAGGTACCAATTTCACGCAGTACTTATTTCGGTAGCTAACCCCGCCAGTACCAGGCTCGATACGCGCATTACAGGCTGGATAAACCCACAATTTTCGCGCCTTTTGCGACTTACGGGCAGAGAACCCTAACCTTGGTGTAGTATATTATTTTTACTTTTTAACACGTGTCTATTATCATTAAATTAAAGACTGTTGTACAGAAAATCCTATACCCCTTTGGTATGTCCAATCGATTAAGAACAATTTATACGTATTATAGTTATTTTTCATTTTCCCATTATTATTTTCAATTTGGCATCACTTAGAGCGACCATTAATTATATACTATCTAATCTCTACGTGATGTTAATAATGGTCTAATAAAATAATTTTGGGAAGATGAATCTTATTTACTATAATTATTTCTTTCGTCCTTATCAACGAACCACACTAGAGTATTGTTTCTGTCCCTTAGTCTTTTGTGAATTAACTATAACATTCTCGGAGGTGGCATTACACAATATTCTCCCAGTAGTGTCTTGTTACTTCAGCGTTTGTTGGTGTCTTGATAAAGGTTTTTATGTCATCCAACTATCATCATTTTACTCATTTGTATTACCGATCTAAGGGTTTTGGATCGACTTGTATTAAATAGCTTGTAGATGTGTCTAATATTTGAATCGTGCTGATTTGACTTGATCATATGTTAAGAAATTTTTGTCTAAATCTTTAATATTTTTAACTTGCTTAGACAATTCAGTGTTTTTCATTTTTTTAAATTATGAAAGAAAAATAATTCAGCGTTTTAGCTAATCCTTCAGCAGTTGGTCTGTTTTGAGGTTCTGCTTATGCAATAGATTCAAAAGTAATTGAGGAACCTCGCATCTAATTTCAGGTCTAAGGCTGTAATAAATTCGAATTGTTAGTTCCTCGTCATGTGGAATATTCTGATATGGAGGATATCCAGTAAAAACTTCTGACAATATCGGATTTTTGAGTGTATTCCTTTCCTTTTGTATATAATACTTTTGGAGAAATATAGGGAAACACCCCAAAAAGTTCTTTAGAGTTTGCGTCTTTTGATACTGGTCTATATAAACCAAAATCAGTAATGTAAGAACTATACATATTTTGATTAACTATATTTACGGGATAAAAATCTTTATGCACTAATTTGGCTTCGTGAATTGCATTAAGTCCATCAGCTATGTAATATAAGTTAGCTACTTTAGAGAAGCCCAATCTAATTCATTATATTTACTATCTAATAATTTTCTGAGACTTCCCTGCTTTGCGTATTCCATAACCACCATTATTTAAT